TTTTCTGAGACAATGAATTTCGGTTTTTCATTTTATTTTTTTCCCAGTAAGAGGTTTTTATTTAATAGAATTTTTGGACCAAAAATATCGCAATATATCGCCTTGTTTACAGTATTGGGATATATCGGGATATATCGTATCGTGACCCCTCTGTCATGTATCTTATCGCCAAATTCTTGCCAATACACAGCCCTATCTACATGTTGCATAAAGACTGGAAATTACCTGAACTTATTTCATTGAGCACTTTTAAATCCAGGCTGAGAGCTATAGAAAAGACTTCCTTAAATTGTGACCATTTTTAATAATTATTTGTATGGCATTTTAATTGTGTAATTGTAATTGTTCTGTAACTTTTGCTGCCTCTTGGCCAGGGCTCCCTTAAAAACAGGTTTTTACTCTCAATGGAACTTTCCAGGCAAAATAAAGTTCAATTAAAAAAGGCCTGAATTAATCCCACCTACCCCTATAAGAGACTCCACTGTGATGCTCACCTGCATAATCCTAAACCCTGCCTCAACAATAACACCAGAAAGCTCCTTTGKTTAAGGAAACATCCCTGGAACTCCACCCGAAGCGAGAGCAAACAGTAATCTCATGATTCAATGTTGACTTCCTCACACATGTATCCGGACTGAATTTAAAGACAGAGGAAAAGTGTCACTCCTRGTCATATCATGTGCAGACAAAAAATATGACAACACTACAAAGAGAGAGAAACAATTGGAAACTAAGACGTAGAACAACAACTATGCTGACCTTTCTGCAACTCAAACGAATGAGCTACTGAGCTTAAGCAGAGATAGGAATTTTATAGAGCAAAACCTGTACTTCCACTGGAGCAGATGTCAACACAACACAGGCTGTAGTTTCGAGATAGCTTTTACGACACTTGCAAACCTGAAAAAAAAAAACTAAAAGGACAAAATACTTCCTATAATCTTTATCTTCAAAACTTGTGTTTTAACATTTGGCACCAATTTAATCTATACAGTGCTCACATTTTTCCACGATATGATCTAGTCTTTTAAAACTCTGTATATTTAACAGTAAAAACTATTTAGATTTAACAGTTACCAAAACCTCTCTCTTTCACTGTCCTAGAAAATATCAACATTATAGATTAAACAAGGAAAGACACCAGGTTAAACTGCAGATGCTTACAACTCTGGAGTGAAGTGGGTCAATGTTTTATTTCAGCAACTGCACACACGTATGTTTATAAACCCATATAATCAGCAGCACTTGTGAGAGCTCATCCTGAATGATACTACTCGAGTAGAAATGGGTGAAATTAAAAAAAATGTCTCAATCCTGTGGTGCATTTTCCAAATACTCTTCTGAGATATTGGCACACATTTTAACACCAGTTTTGTTTTGTTTTTGTTTTGTTTTGTTTTTGTGGAGCAGATAATTTAACAGAGCAGGGAAATTCTCCAGAAAACAGCACCTAACAGCAAAACTGTTTGCTTCTTTTTTGAGACAACAGCCATTTTGAATATGTTTTTTAGTAATAAACAAGTTATTTTAATATCAACACCATTTAGGAGGGTGTAGCACAATGTTGTCACWATTTCTACTTCAAAATGCCATGTTTTCCCAGATTTACATGCAAATATTTACAATAAATCTACATTGTGGTCAAGCTTTGATTTAAGCACCATGCTCTTAAAACTATATTTGAAAACAAGATTAAAACAAAGATGGATAACAGGAAACAACACATCTGAAAAATTAAATGTTTATGGTCTTAATCATGACATTCAGATCTTCGATAAACAATACTGATTTAATAAAACTTKTACATTTTGGAGTAAATTACACAGAAACGTGTTTAAGGGTTTGGATAACAACCATAATAGTTGTCAAAATAAGCAATTTTTAATGTTTTTGAGTGTTCTGTATGTGTATCATCTATGATTGAAAAAACACTAAGTACTCATCATTCGCTACAAAATATTCACCAATTGTAAAAATTTTTTTTGCAAATTCAGCAAAATCGTTTTGTTGCCAACAATTACGCGTTGTTTGTTTACATCTCAACACTGACAGGAGTGAAAATGTGCGACTGCTTTTGAGTCAGTAAAATAATCCCCTGATGTAAAAAGAGGAACAATGGAATAAGAGACACCAGCTCTAAAACAAAAAGGTAAAGTTACTTTCTAAAAGAAAAAGGCAACTAAAAGCYGTAAGCCTGAGTCGACAGAAATGAAGTGATTTTGTGCTAAAGCAAAAGCTGAGGCTAAAATCACATTCAAATGAGATATTTTGAGATATTTTGAACTTTAAACAGGAGAATTTCCATAATATATTATAACTGATCATTAGATTCAGTAATAACAAGGCAATGGATGTTTGCTGTTTCCAAACACAATGTTTACAAAAGTTTTCAAATTGCCTGATGAGTTTGAGTTGCACTAACCTCAAAACCATCATTTAATGACATAGAAATTGTATATAGAGAATAAAAATGAATTCAAAAACACTGAAAAATCGTGCATTTTGACCAATTTCATAGTGTTTTTGGATCTGTTTCAGAACAGCACATAGCTGCCATGCAACATGCTATTAAAAGTAACTTGAAGTTTCCACCTCTATAGAAAGAATTTGAAAAACATTTTTTGCATGCTTGAGTAAATTATTTTTAGAAGCTCGGAACAAAAGTGATTTTCTATTTTATAATCATATTTGCCAGTAAAGTGCTAAATACAAATCCCATACTTTTCAAGACTGCGTAAAAAAAATAAACAAATAAATAAAAAGACTGGGATCAGAATCCCCGCAAGCACTGTCTGAGCTGGTTTCATCGAAACTGGCTGGGAATGACATGGCTCCAGTCATGGGAGCACTATGTCGCAGCTATTAATACAGCCTTTAGACGCCCTGAACGCGGTGTCGCTGAAGGCTCCTGCGGTATCAGCACATTAACACGGTCACCGTCTGAGCAGGAAGCCTCCACGGCCTACTCAGACGGGTTGTACCCGGGGATCACAACTGGATCCGCCGTGTTCCAGACTCTGGCGCAAGCCTCGGCGAACACACAGAACCACACACTCGGTAAAGCACTTTAACAGCCTACCAACCTGGTCAAAACAATACGTRCATTACATGATGTCTTATTACTCCGTTTGTCTTACCCACAACTCGTTTTTTATATATTTTTTTTCTCGGTCGGTGGGTCATTACTACCGACTGCAACGCATAACTTCAAACCGAGACCGCCCAGGCAGGTAGGTCCGTTATCGGACATAAAAGACCGAGAAAGGTCGTTGCTGAAGCTTTTAAATCTCATTAAGCACATCATCTCGTCTTAACCGCGCCGCCTCAGCTGAAAGCTGTCAAGACGTGGATCAAATCTAAAGCGGTGAGTTGTCCACACCGTGCCCCAATGACTGACAACGGGCTGAGCGGTAGCGTCAACCACTCTTCCTTCGACAGCCTCGGCAGAGGCGCTTCAGCAGCAGTGGATCCCATGCTGGGTTAGTGCCGCCGAGTGAGTATTTTTAAGGTCGTTACACGCTCCAGAAGCCCTCTTGAAACCAGTTGTAGGGAGTGTTCGAAGGAGTGCAACATTTCGACGCTGACAGAAAAATGGAAATTTCCGTGACAAAGTAACCTGCGTCCGATAATGGACACATCATCGATGCGTTGATACTAAACAGGTTAGCAGCGAAGCTAAGCGAGGAACTGTTAGCTGCTCGGCTAGCCCTGCTCTGCGACATGGTTTTAAGATGTGGTAGGAAGCACAAACTAACGTAAGCGGCTTGGTGGTACTTACAGCCTAACACTTTTACAAAAAAAAAGGTCTAACAGGTCCAATAAAACACGAAGAAATTATAAGCACACGTTAAGTAAAGCAACGCATAGCTTACCAGCTTTAGGCATCCACCCTCTTGACAGCGAATTCCCTGTCTGTGACTGACCACAGAGAGTGCGCGTCGACTAAAAACACAAACACTTCCGGTGGAGTTTTCAAAATAAAACACGCATTTGCGAATGTGTTTTTGAAAAAGTTTCCGGTGAAAATTTCCTAATAAAACCAATCGTTAC